CTGGGGGAAAGGATCTACATCTGTCACAGAAATAAGTTCTTTGCGCCTCTCCTCTGTTTTAGAATGGAAGGGAAGGTGGGCATCCAAGCCTGGCATCCAGTGAAATGGGTGCATGCTTAATGGGGCATGGTCAATATAGGAGTGGTTGAGTGAGTGCAAAACAGGATTTGAGCAGGAAGAGCAAATAGTCTCTGAAGCATTGTAGATTTTTGAGGGGCTATTTACTGAGACCTTGTGTGGATACCACAGACACCATCAGGAGTGGCAGCTTGGCTCACCATCAGTGGGTGCCATGCAGTGTGCATGGCCCTGGCTCTGAAATTTGTGGGTGCCCAGCCCCTTCAGGGGAATTTTGTGGGTGCTCGGGCACCCAGAGCCCCAGGGAGTTGTCACCTATGGACACCCTATTGGAAATCTATGTAACCTGCCTCTGACCCTCTGGATCATCAGTTGCTTTCATTAGAAATTGATACCTGCTCACTTTGAACTATATCACGGGCTTCTGGTCTGTTTGACTGCCACCACTGGAGATTCACCCTTCCCAGATTTGGGGTCATGTCTCTTGCACCTGTGTCCTGCGCCCAATGGATAAGCAGAACTGCCTGAGGATCTTCTTGGACATTATCTAACCATAGATCACACTGCAAAATGCTTGAGACATGTTTCCTGACACAAGCTTGCCCTATCATGAAATGCAGTCCACGTGGCAAGATGAATCGTGGAGCCTGAGTAATTTCCTGGTATTGACCAGCAATCTGCTGTCACAATTTGTTATGAGCCCAATCATCTTGAAGCAGCAGCTGCTGTATGGATAATAGGAGAATGCTTTGAAGAAAAATATATATATGGAATCATTTTTGCTGCTCCAAAAATGCCCCCCTGCCCAGCCGCCTGTATCGACAAGGTCCTTTTGCATAAAGTCTCATTCCACGGAATGAATTTCTGAGTTATCCATATCTGTTGGCAAACATTCCAGGACACACTTGGTGGAAGGACCTTGTTATAACTCATCAGCCCCTGCTGTGTTGCTTAAAATGGACTTCCATTTCTTCACTTCCTTTGTATATATTGGGAAAAAAACCTATAAAATGAAAAAAATAAATAATCTTACTGTGGTTTTCTTCAGCCTGCTAGCCAAATTTAAAATCTCTTTTTTAAAAAGTATGTCAGTAATATGAATATTATAGCTGGATTCAGCTTGGTGATCTTTTTGACTGTCATTGAGTGGCTGTCAACATCTTGATGAAATCTAGGAATCAAGTCCACTTGAGCTTTTGACATGTTCAGTTATATGTGGCGATGCAGCTATTGAAGGAGGGAGAATGTATAAAACTGTGTGATAGCTCTCATGGTTCAGGGGCCAGCCTATGAGGTGGTGGTGGTGACGACAACAACAACAACAACAAGAAGAAGAAGAAGCTAATGAAACAGTGTTATTTGTCTGTTAAGTCATCCATGTGAGGAGAGGTACAGATGTCCTGGGAATCAGATTAGGAAATAGATGCCGGTATGAGAAGCCTATGGCCCTCCATATGTTGTTGGTCATCCCCAGCTAACATGGCCAATTGTCAGGGGTGATGGGAGATGTGGTTCAGCAACATCTGGAAGGCCATCCTTGGGAATCCCAACACAACGACAATTTATTTCATTAAAATCTATCAAAACAAGTCACAACAGTTGGGTCATTGTAGGAGGAGAACATATGAACAGATCTTACCCTGAGTCAGACCATTGGTCCAGTATTGTCTACCGTGAGGGGCAAGCACCCTTCAATGTTTCAGACAGATTTTGTCCCTCCACTTTCTCCATGCCATGCATAATTTCATAAATTTCTAACACATCACCTCTTATACTTGCTTTTTCTCTAAACTGGTCCCCAATGCTGCAGCTTTTCACCATAGAGGAGTCACTTTTCCCTCTCAATCATTTTGGTTGCCCTTTTCTCAACCTTTTCCAACTCTACCGTGCCACTTCCACCATCTAGTGTGGGTGAGTTTGTCACACCCAAACTCCCTCAAGAAGAAGACTCGGAGTTGTTTGTCCTAAGGGAGGTGTTGGGGAGGTCACACAACGAGGATGGAGAGGAAGCAAGGCTTTAAAAGCTGGCTCATCCCCAAATGCTCCACTCTTTGCACAGTGCCTTCCTCTCTCCCTATGCAGCATGGGCTTTGCTAGTTGCCTATTTGGGAACTGAGCAGGAATTTTTTGGTTGACCCCCAACTGACATTAGAACTCCTGTTTTTGCAGTAGCATTTTAATTGGTTTAACTGGTGTTCAGGCCGGAAAGACAAGTTAAGAACTGGTGAGGAAATACCTGAGTTAAGGGCACTCTTTGGTCACCCTATGCCATGCACAGGCAAACTCTGGGCCTCCAGATGTTCGGGACTACAATTCCCATCATCCCTAGCTAACAGGACCAGTGGTCAGGGATGATGGGAATTGTAGTCCCAAACATCTGGAGGGCTGGAGTTTGCCTATGCCTGCCCTATGCTGTATTGGCTTTGGGGGTATCCAGAGTTGCCCTTTAAGCTTGGCATGTACACCAGGATGAATGTTGAGCTGGTGGAGCCATGGTGCGCTTGCCAGGTGCATATACCCAAAATTTTCGGAGGAAGAAATCCTTCTAGTCCATGCCCAGGAGTGGAGAGGGAGTTGATCCTTCCTGTATTAGGGAACTTACCTGACGAGACTATCTACTGTATTTTATTTTTTGGTTTGTAGATCCTCAGTTTGATCTCATGAGCCTTTTTTCAGGGTGTGTTGGCTTTATCCTTGCTGAGGTAAAGCAACCAGAAGGAGTATTCCAAACATGGTCATGTCATAGATCTGAATTATGATATTGGCAGTTTCCTTTTCAATTCCTTTCCTAATGATCCCTAGCATGGAATTTCCTTTTTCACAGCTGCTGCATACTAGGTTAATGTCTTCATTGAGCTCTCTACCAGGGTCTACCAGAGCTGGGCTTTTTTAAACAGCGGGTAGGATAGGCATCAGTGGTTGGCCCTTCCATGGTGTTGGAGCCCCCTAATGATTCCCCATGGATGTGTGGTGCTGATATCAGTCCTCCTTGAGACAGTATATTTATTGTGCTACCCAAATATTTAACGTTCCTTCAACACTTGTGAGATTTGGCGAGGGAGGGGACCAGCTGCCTTTTGACAGCCCTATTTGCTACCTACCTTTTCTTCTCAGCTTTCATTAGGACCTGTCTAGCATCGTGAGTCATCCTCCCTGAATTATCTTTCAGAGCAAGCAACGGAGATTAGATGCCGGGAGAAAGCAAAGCATCTCCAATGAAAGCATTAAATGGGGGAAAAAATTGAAACCAAATGAAAATTGTTCTTCGTTTGCCTCCCTGACATCAAACATATTTCCCAAGAAATCCCTGTCTCCCGAGCCTTGTGTATAAAATAAAAATCACATCATAGTCTCGTCCGCCAATTTGCAAATGGTCCTTTTCAGCCACCAAGCTGCCGGGGAGAAGAGGATCAAAGTCACTTGCATTTAAAAGCCCGGTTTCAACCTGTTAGGATTAACACTCAAAAAAGAATAAGAATACAGTTTAAATAAGGGTTTTTAAGGAGTTGTCTAAACAGGAGAGTCCAGCGCTATGGTTCTCATTGCAACTGCTTGAAGGACCACAAATGCCTTTGATCCGGGGGGGGGGGGAATCCGTAGCCCTACAACTCCCATCAGCCCCAGGTAGCACAGCCACTAGTCATGGTATATGGAAGCTGGACTCCATCAGCAGCTGGACGGCCACAGGTTCTCCATCCCTGCTGTAAGATGTGTGTTATCCTCTAAGTATCTCGTGCCTTAACTTCAAATCAGCGCCTGATATCTTCCATGGAAGATTTAGGACAGGCAAAAGGAAGCAGTTCTTCACACAGTGCATAGTTAAACTATGGAACTCACTCCCGCAGGAGGCAGTGATGCATACCAACTTGGGTGGCTTTAAAAGAGGATTAGGCAAACGTATGGAGGGGAAGGCTGTCAGTGGTTTTATTCAGTGGCTACATTCTACATCTGGGGGATGCGGGTGGCACTGTGGGTTAAACCACAGAGCCTAGGACTTGCTGATCAGAAGGTTGGCGGTTCGAATCCCCATGACGGGGTGAGCTCCCGTTGCTCAGTCCCAGCTCCTGCCAACCTAGCAGTTCAAAAGCACATCAAAGTGCAAGTAGATAAATGGGTACTGCTCCGGTGGGAAGGTAAACGGCGTTTCCCTGCGCTGCTCTGGTTTGCCAGAAGCAGCTTAGTCATGCTGGCCACATGACCCGGAAGCTGTACGCCAGCTCCCTTGGCCAATAAAGTGAGATGAGTGCTGCAACCCCAGAGTTGGTCACGACTGGACCTAATGGTCAGGGGTCCCTTTACCTTTATATTCTACATCCCGTGCCAAAGACAGTATGCCTCTGCATACTCATTGCTGGAAATCACGAGCAACATGTGTGGTGTTGCCCTCAGGTCCTGCCTGCAAACTTCCCATGGGCAACTGTTTGGCCACTGTGAGAACAGGATGGTGGACTAGATTGGCCATTGGCCTGACCCAGCAGAGCTCTTCTAACTCTTGAAATAATAATTTTAAAAATCTGGACTCTGGGCAAGGTCTCAGTGTGGAGCCTTCTGAGTCAAAGTATGAGCCAGGGGTTCAGTTAAGGGACTGAGTTCAATGCCTTTCAGTGGATTCCAGGATGGATTCCATTGTTTTATTAAAAATATGGGGGCAGATCCATATATGTTCTCTCTTCACTCAAGTTACACAACTTTTTTTCTTTTTTAACAGCCCTTAGATGTCCTTAGATGTTCTGGTCCTAAAACCACAACGAACATGAAACCTGCTCAATCTGTTGTGTTTGTTGTTTATTTTTCCTTGTAGTTTTGCCAGCCATGACAGCTGAGGTCACTGTCTGTATCCTCAGCTTTACTGAAGTTAGAATATTTAGGGCAAAAGCAGGGGTTTCATCATGATAGTGCCTTCCCTATACAACTTCAAGGAAGGGACTGTGGCTCAGTGGTACAACATCTGCTTTGAATGAAAAAGGTTGCGGGTTCAATCCCTGGCGCCTCCTGGTACAGCTGGGGGGAAAGAAGAATACCTGAAACACTGAGGAACTGTGTCCAGTCAGTGTAGACAATATTAAGCTAAATGGTCCAGTGCTCCAACTCATCCTAAGGCAGCTCCTAAGCACAGATGTTTTGTGGAGAAGGACTTTGGCTCATTCATAGCGCATCTGCTTTGCATTCAGAAGGCTCCAGGTTCTCCAGGTTCTGCAGGCAGGGCTGGGGGAAAGCTCCCTTCCTGAAACTCTGTGGAGCTGCTGCCAGTCAGTGTTGGCAATGCTGAGCTAGACAGACCAATGGTATAAATTGGTACAAGGCAGCTTCCTACGTTCCGAAATTGATACCCTGATAATTATGCTGGTGGGACTCCATCTGTTGACTGTTTATCATCTCATATAATCCATTTTTTATCCTGCCTTTGAAGCCGGAGGTTTCCAAGACAGCTAACAACCAAAACAAAACAAAAAAAAGCACCCAGCAAAAGAGTTAAAGCCAATTAAAGTGCAGTAAGCTAAAAGTAAAACAGAAGACACGGAAATGGCAGTAAAACAGGAAAAGAAAGTGCATGAATCAAACAAAATTCAGGAGGCAGTTTTTAAGGCTGATCTGGATCTCTGGTCCAGCTGCTGAACATTTGGAGGTTTTTGACGATTTGCGAAAGCATCCTGAAAATTGGAAGGGGATGGGTGTTTGGGTTGGAAGGTGAAAGTTCAGATGAGGCCGCAATCTTTTCCACAAGGAGTTCCATCATGCAGTACTTTCCCCTGGGTGCTGAAGACGCATTTGCAAACTGTGCAGCAGCCAAACTTCTGGGAATGGTTTCTTCCCTATAAGGCCCTTGTTAAAAATGAAAGGGGAAAAAATGAGGGGAAACATTCAAACAGCCTCGTGCTAACTGTAGTGCAGCAATTGGGCTCAGAGTAAAAGGCAGGTGAACAAGCACACAGGTTGCAATGGTCAGAAAAGAGGAGTAGGTTCAGAGGTGATCTCATCAGTGGGCCCTTTGCTGGAGTGTGGGGCCTTAGCAAATGCCTCCCCCCCCCCCGTGTTGACTCTTGATGCCTTCTCTAAACAAGAAGCCAAAGCTGCTTCTACCTTATTTTTCCTGCTGCTTTTTCAGGGGGGAAATTGTTTCTTTTTAGCAGTGCACTTTGGAAAAGAAAACGATCTAGCCTAGAGCTCAGCTTCAAGGGAAATGCAGTCTGTATGTGTGTGGAAGGCTGTTAACCACCTCAGACTTTTGACATATAGATTATATTTATTTCATCTTCTATGGTGTCTGAGCTGTGTGTGGAAGAGAAATATCTCCTGACAATAGGCAGGCTGACTTTCATCCTCTCTTTGCTTTGATATCTAAAGATCAGTGGGCACTTAAAATCTTTTACATATTCTAATTTAGAACTTAGCTGCTATCTTCTGAAAGGAGAAAGTAATCCTTTTGACTAATTTGAAAACCCACTGCACCACAAGGCCACTTTATTACCAAGACTGGCTGTTTCTAAACACATTCCAGCCACATGGTCAGATCTTAGAAACAGATAGAGCAGGGTCCCGTTGATAATGTTGCAAGTGAATGAAATAACTCTAGGTGAAATTTTGCAAGACAAACTGGGTAAGAGGCCTGGGCAGACCCTCTATTTATTGCCTGGGTGCGGACCCAAGTGATGCCTGCCAGCACAGTTGGCTCCGCCCCTGGGAAAGTCCTGCACAGTAACCTGCCTGCAATTGGCCAATTTGCAGGAAGGCTACAATCCAACCAGGCCCCATACCCAGCACTGCCATGGGATAGTGTAAGGGGGATGGCGTCAGGCCACAGCACCACCTGCCCAATTAGGGGGTAAGCAGAGTTCTCCACATTTTGCAATGCAATTCTCCGGCCACATAATGTGTACAAAAATAAGAAATAAAAATGCATGTACACTAAAGTGTGCACACAAACGCATATGCCAATGAAAATAACATTCCAAAATGTATTATATTAGGGGGAACAACTTTGCAAAAACTGTGTTCATAAGGAGAAAATTGTGCTAAAATGCTGGCGAGTTTTCATGAGGATATTTGAGGGGAAACACCTGCAAACTGGTGTGGATAATGTGGAGTATGAAAGAATGAGGAATGGAGAGTAACTGAAGTTGACCAAAATATCTGGGAAGACTGGTTTAAAACAGTTCTTTTAAGATCTCCGTATTTGTCATGAAATATTGCTTTAGGTGCAATGTGGAAGAGAGTTAGCTGGACTGGGGTTGGGGGTTGGGGAAGCAGCCAAGTAGTACACCCAGCTTGTTCTTCTCAGTTTATCCTCCATGTAGAAAATAAGTATCTAAAAGAAATGCAAAAGGAGAAGAGGGAAGGTTATGTAAAAAACCAGAATTGGAGTCAACAAGGATTACCCATTGTTAATTGCTCACATTTAAGTTGCAAATAATCTTCTTTGTTGAATATGCTACCTTCTTTTTTATTTTGCTGCTTTTATAGCTATATGTCAGCTTCTCGCTTGTGGGGGGATTTAAATATCATTTCAAAAAGCCAGCCACGTATAAATCATCTTGTTTCTTTCACATGAACAGAATGCAACCCTCTGCCTTTGGGAAATCATCGCAAACTGTACCTCTCAATGAAGAGGAAATTGTCAAGAGGCGGTTGAATGGCCATTTTGATACCATTTAAATGCTGGATGTTTCACCGGCATTGGAGTCATTTCGGCAGCAATGCTCAGATCATTTAATCTGAGTGTAATCCCTTTTGTAAACAACTGGAAATCCTTATGCCAATAAAGGCCAATAACAATAACAATAGCAACTGGAAATCTTGGAACCCTAAGAGCAGACAATGTGCCTTAGCAAAATATGAGCAAAATAACTAAATATTAGCAAAATAACTAAATATTCGTCAAGGATTTGGTATGATATGCATGACATGCATGGAAACTCCCCATAAAATAAGGCTGCAGGGTTCTGCCTTCTACTCAGCTCTCAAGGTCACATTGGACCACCAGAAGCTGTGTTACTGGACTTACTGGCCAATCTATCTCAATATTGTCTACAGTGAGAGATAGTAGTGGCTCTCCATTGTTTCAGAGAGGGAGTCCCTCCCAGCCCTACTTGGAGATGTTAGGGACTGAACTAGGGAGCTTCTGCTTGCAAGGCAGATGCTCTATCACTTCTCACGAACACAAAGGATTTCCCTTGCAAACACCTAACATATGGACACCAGAGATGAGTCTAGAGCAGGGTTTCCCAAACTTGGGTCTCCAGATATTTTTGGACTACAATTCCCATCATCTGTGACCATCATCGCTGCTAGCTAGGGATGATGAGAGTTGCAGTCCAAAAACAGCTGGAGACCCAAGTTTGGGGGAACCTGGTCTAGATGCATGTCCCTGCTGCCCTGTTCTACAAATATTTCCCACTCATACAACACATGTGTGAAGGGAGCTTTTCCACCATCCAAACCCCTCACATCTCACCCTTCTAAACATGTCACAATAGCCTAAACTTCAGTGCCTCACATTTATTTATACATATGCACACCAACAATCCTTAATTGCAAATGGTCTGGAAATCTTATTGTTCCTAGTGCACATTCTCCTTTCTCACATTCCCTTCTTGTTTTTGGTGTCAATTTTACTAAATTATATGGTGCAAAGAGCAGTCATATGGCATTGTAAATCTGGCACAAACATCTCCAGACTTCAAAAAATAATAACGGTGAGTGATATTTCAGGCTGTCCCTCTGGGGACTTTTCTAGACTTCCCACTTGATTCAGACAACTGTGAGTGCTTCCAGTAATCCAAGTCTGTCACTTCAACCTCTTCCTTCACCCCCTGCCCAACATCCATTTGTTGATGCTTCCCTCAGCTTTTAAAATAGCATTATTAATTTGCAGTGCATGCTAACTGCTCACAGAGTTGTCTGTAGAACTAAGCGATGTTTGTTCTCTGGTGCTTGTTTTTCAGCAGATAGTTTTGCACTTCATGTGGGGTCAGGTTTACCATGGACTTAGGAAGCTGCTTTATACAGTGTCAGACCATTTGTCTATTGAACTCAATATTGTCTACACTGATGGGCAGTGGCTCTCTAGGGCAGGCATCCCCAGATGTTTCGGGACTACAAGTCCTATCATCCCTAGCTAACAGGACCAGTGGTCAGGGATGATGGGGATTGTAGTCCCAAAACATCTGGAGGGCTGAGTTTGGGGATGCCTGCTCTAGGGTTTCAGATAAGGAGTCTTTCTAAGCCCTGCCTGGAAATGCCAGGGATGGAACCTGGGAATTCTGCATTCAAAGCTGATTCCCAACTCACATTCCATGACTAGCAACCTCCCAGGGCTATATGCCAGTGGTGAGCAGGACCAGAGACAAAAAAAGTGGGCAGAACAATGGATGTCAGTCTTACCTTTGTACTGTAGGTTATGTCCTAGCTAAGAAAATGCCAGAGGTTTCTATTCATACACATCACATCTCCCCATCCTCCTTCCAGTCAAGAAATAGGCATCAGCAGGGTCCAACAACATATTCTAGCCAGACAAATGCACTCAAGGATGGTATGGCCTCAGGGAGTGGGTGTGGCCTGGGGAGAGTCCAAAGGGTCAGGTAGAGAGTCTTGGAGGACCACATTCAGTAGAGGCTGAAGATCTTCACCCCTGCTTTAACATCACATTTTCAAGATCACATGTTGCAGGAATGTCATTGAGATGGAAAGGCTCAAAGGTTCATGTATTTTAGGGTTGCCATATGTCTGTGCGGAAATTGCTGAAATGTCTGGGGAAACCCAGGCATATGGCAACTCTAGATTTTGACAAATTTCCTTAAAAATAGCTCAAAAACTTCAATTTTTCTTGAGATCTTGCAAAAGAAAGTTCAACAAAAACCACAACAACACATTCAAGGAACCCTAATGTATTTAGTAATGGGGAGAGGGGTGTTTGTTTGTTTTCTTAATGTGAATCTGCCAAATTTGGACTCCCCAAAGGAAACATGGCTCTCTTTTGAAAACTACACTTCCACTT